GGGAGTTAAATTAAGTTAAAATACATGAGCAGTGGGCTAAGCATGTGCTCACAGCCAGTGACTGTGACTCAGCTGGCACACAGTTATTTATTGTGCGGCAGTAACTTGCCCGTGTCTTTAAGAACCTCATTGGAAATACAAGACCAGTTCAGATTTGGGATTAAAGCCCCTTTAATAAGAATATCTACCCGCACAATGATGGCAAGAAGTGTCTTTTTAGTGACTGGCAAACAATTGGACGGTGACACCCTATTGCACAAATGGCAGTAGGGTGCCGTCGTGGCTGGGTGGTGCAGAGGTACTTGTTTTCCTGGTCTAAGGGCAAAATTTAAGCACTGAATGGAAGATCTGAATGCAAGGGGGGTTGTTTTCATCATATAGGACTTCCGCTCTCCTTCCAGGACTGGGCTTCCCCAAGCAGTTACCTTTCTACAGCGTATTTGCCCTCACCAAGTGCCAAAATAAAATATTATTGGCTCAAGATAACCAGAGCAATGACAGCTGACCACCTTGTCCCACCGCTATCCACCCGATAGTGATGACATCTACATCTCAACTGTACTGTGCCATCTGATTGATGCAAGCCAAACTTTTTACGAAGTAATCTGAAATATCATCCAGAACGAAAGCATGTGGAGCACAAAGCAAACCTTTTGTAGAAGTGCTTTTTCCCCCCCGTAGCGTGCGAGCCGCTCTCGGTGGTTTTACGCGGTCTCCTACAGAAGCCACTTGCCTAGCTGTGTGGGAGGATTGTCCTTCCAAGAGCCAACAGCCCCCACTCAAACTGTCCGCACAAAGGTTATAAATGCCTGTTACGCCAATCCAATGGACACGACCCTGGGATTTCCATGGGTTTGGGGAACTTCAGTACTAGCTCAATAGCTATTAATACTGTTGCATCTGTAAGACGTCCTCTTTTCAGTTCAGCATTGCATTTTTTCTGGGATAAATAGAGGATTGCTCTCTCTTGTGCTGTCAGCTCGGTACTAAATCCACGTCCTGTGAACACAGGTATTTTATGTTTTTCCTTTCATTCGTGGTGATTACTTTATTGTGTACTTATGTCATGCCTTAAACTCCTTTCTAGGTACATTCTCTAGTAATACATGTGTCCTTTTTCAGCTGAGACATTTTTACCGTGACAAGATGCAAAGTGCAACTGGGCTTTATATTCATTAGCAAAAAAAAGTTGATAAAAACATATGGCCAAAAAAAAAAAAAAAAAAAAAAAAAAAAAAAAAAGAGAAAACCCATGAAAATCTATAAAATAAGGATGAAAGAGCTGAACTGTCGACCTCCATTTTCTTCTCAATAAACCTGCTCAATGCAATCGCCAGCTGGCTCCGCCAAATCATTTTCATACTTGATCATGACATCAGACGGTTGCAGATTGAGAGTAGGAAACATATTTCCTTCTCTCCCATAACAAATCACATGACTATTTAAAATCAAATGATCTTTCAGGGACTACATATTTGGAGCCTAATTTCCTCGACAGCTGCTTTTAATGCCATTGCCATACCTCTGCCGATATCGTATGCACAGTATTCGGTAAAGAGACCGGTCCCTGCTCTGACGTGTCTTCCTCCTCCCCTCTCTTGTAAATCAAGGTGATTAGCTCTTCTCAGCCCATCCATCCTGTCAGATGGCTTTTCCACAGTGTGCTGTTAAAAACTTCCAACAGTTTCTTCCCTTAAACATCCCCAAAATTCCAACAAACCTCCTTGGGAAGCCCATCGCTCCGCCACTCCTTGCCAGATCCGAGGCACGTTAGAGGCTCGGGTGCTGTTTCCTGCAGCCCAGATTGCAGTCACCTTCCTCACACAGAACAGCATCCTCTGCCATGAGTAATCCCCACCGAGCCCAATGGGTCTATTCACGATATAGAGCACTATCGTGATACATAGCGTTATTCAGGAGGAGCAACAGTGTCACAATTTGGCCCCTTCCCCAGTCTTGCTTCCACGATAAACCCAACAGCAGTTCTGTGTGTGTCACCAGACTGAGGAGCAGGACTTGGGTGTCCCAGCAGAGCTTATTTGTAGGCATAGTTCACAATATTGTAAACTACTCACTTGTAGTATTTGGGGAATACTCACTTGTACCGTTTCTCACATACAAAAAAGTTTTCTCAAATTTGGTGTTATTTTTTTAGGAGGCGTTAACAACTGAAATCCAGAACTATTCTTCCAGCTCCTCGGTTTTCCCCTTCCTTTCTTCAAAGTACTGACATTTTTACTGTAACCACTTGTAACCACGGGCTTTTCCTCACAGAGACAGCCAACTCTTCCCACTGTGGAAATTAATGGTAAAATTATTGGGGACTTCAGTAGTACCAGATGAAGTGTTTAAAGTACCAGCTTGTCTATAAGAAGAACAACTGGGTTTTGTGTCAGCTCTGATTCGTCCTTACTGTTCTGCATCAGATTTCTTAAATGTTTAACTGCTGTTAATCATGAACTTTATTTTTATTGCTGCCTTCTCCTCTCATTCCTACCTGTATCACGAGTCTCTCTCGAGTGTTGGGAGTGTAGATGATGAACTCCCTTCTTTAGAGGCCAGAGGATCGTCCCTTCGAGGAGATGCTCACAGAGAAAATGAAGATAAGGAAACCTAACATGCAAAAGAGCTTTAAAGCTGTAGAAATCATTAGGGTTTGTCAAAAGTGAGTAAATTAAAGGAAATTATGTGCAAACGGGGCCCATTTAGGTCAACCATGAAGAACACTTAGGAGCAGGGGTGCTAGCTCTGTGTGTGCTGACAGCAGAGGTTGAAACCTGGGGATTGGTCACTGGTACATCCCCATCCCAGAGTTCTGCTGGACCAAGATTAAGTTCTGCAGAAGAGCATCTCCCCGAGACATCTTTCAAACAGACTTTCTTCTGAACACCAAAGATGTTTACATGGTGACATCTGCTCTGCTAAGGTTGGTTCCCATTTTTAAATTATCGCTTCAGGGAGCCATCACTTTGCAAAACCCAGAGTATTTTTTCCACCAGAACATCCCCACTCCTTGTCCCAACTGCCCCACCACGGTCAAGTGAGCAAGCATTAACGAGACACCCCAAAGCCTGGGTTGCCCTCGCTTTTTTACTCTTTATACCTTCAGAACCAGACGCTCAAGTCAGAGAGTCCCATCTGTGGGGCATCATGTGAGGGACACGGTCACCTCCATCCACGCTGCTCTGGCCCTCCAGTTAAAAAGAGACCTTCCCTCTCCAGGCCTGACAGCACGGCTCCTTTCACAATCACTAAGTTCATACACACAAAAATGAAGGACACTTAGAAAAGCCAGCTTGTCTCGGCGGGAGGGAATTTAGCTCCACGAAAAGACAAGCAAGACATGTGGAGAAAGAGCCACAGGTTGCCAGACGGTGGGAAGCAGATCCGGCGTGGAGGGAGGGTGGCACATCCTTGCTCCTCATCTCAGGGCAGAGCAGAGCCCCCGTGCCACCCCTCCCTTGAGACATTTATGTGTGCTGCAGGGAAAAGTAGCCTCCTGGGGTGGTTCTCAGCCTTCGAGGGTTAAGTACAGATTATCAGCTAATCGCCCTAAACCTTGAGGATTAATGGATGATCTAATCTCCAATGATCTAATTCAATGTGGAAAGGCCATCAGCACCTGAAGCCTGGAGCGCCTATATCCTTGCTGAATTTTGCCTCCAGTGGAGTATGATAAATCATTTTGTATTTCTTAAGCAGAGCTGCAAGACAGCAATAACGCTTCCATTTTAAGTTGTCACCACAGCACCAAGTAAATATTTTATCAGTTTTACAAGCCAGACTCTATAACGGTACATATATTAGCAGCGTTAGCAGCGCAATTATTAATTTTTCATATGCTCTTAAAGTGTAATTAATAAAGCCCTGCTTCTTCCCAGACCACAGCAGGTGTAGTTTCATGCTTTACAACAAGTTTCTCACAGAGGATGGGAGGAGGCTGGCTGCTCAGGACAATCTCCACTTCCAGAGCTTGCAGCGTGGTTGATGAAGAGCATTGAAATGAAGCCCTGAGCGGGGGCCACCAGACTATAAATTTGGTGCACAGGTAAGTTGATCTATCTGACTTAAAAGGGCTTGTGTGAGCGTGTGCCACTAGCATCAGCCAAAAGGCTTGCAGGTTTTTCTTGCCCCGTGCAGACCCTCAGCTCCCACTGCCCCACATCCCAGCGTCTGGCTGGCAGTGGAGTGAAGGGCAGGTGTAAATTTGTGGATTGGGAACCTTCTGTGTGGTCATCGTCCTGGGTACAATCCAAACCCAGCAGAGGCTGCTGCACTAAAATGTCATTGCAAGTGTTGGTGGTGGTACAGCGATGGTTCACTCCTTGAGTGCTCAGCATCTGCTGGAGCACCGGGTGGTCCATAAATCCATGGCGGGCGGCCTATGAAGCAGATTCTGTGTGTGGAAAAAAGTTAAGATAACAAAAACCTTTTCAAAAATAAAGTTACTTTTTCTACATTGAGCCCTTTCTAACACTTTACTTGTCTTTTTTTTAAAAAAAAAAAAAAAGAGGGAGGGAGAAAATGAGAATGCAAACCAACTGAAAATGGACAGCTAAACCCAGGACATCAAACCACACACAAACAAACGAAATGAAGATTGGCTCAGACCATTTTTTTAAATCTCAAAGTAAAACCGAACTATTAGTTTGAACTTCTTGACACTGGATTGGAATGGACAAGACACAGATGACACTAAGTCTGACCTCAATAAAAAATGAAGTGCTTCGGCTTCCAACGTTCACATGGAGATTTTTCAGAACCACCTGAGCAAGCTACACCAGTGAAATCTACTGAAGCAAAGGATGTGAGTCACCGATCCTAAAAACGATTAAGTACTTTGTTAAGTTGGGTGATAAACTCCTATTAATCAAAAAAAAAAAGCAAAAAAAAAGCCAATAGGGATGTGTAAGAATACCTGAACATCTGAACCTGGATGACTGGAGTCCCTTGGGGAAAGCTTAATTTATATATGCGTGTTTGTTCGGCTTGTCCTCAGCATAAGCGGTCAAATATCTTTGCTCTTCTCTAACATTTATTTCCTTTTGTCAGAAAATTAAGGTTTTGACTGACAACTGAAAAGAATGGTTATTATTGCAATTGTCAGCTTTAAATTTCTTTGTCAAAAATTGCTAGTGGCTGTTTTCCATGTGAAATTAAATCCTTTTTTTGATCAAGTCTGCTCTTGAGTTCTGTACTGATGATTTCCCGGAGAGCATTTGCTATACCCTACAGCTCCCTGTCCCTCTGTTCACCCACCTATAAACCCATGCTAATAACAATATTTACCTCCCTCACTCAAGTTTTGTGAAGCTTCATTAAGGAACGTTTTTAAAGCGCTATGAGATTCTTAAATGAAGGCTGCCCAGACAGTATAAAATTCAATTACACTAGAAACTAAAAAGCCATGATTTAATCCTCAGCATCTGGGTAAAACACAAATCTAAAAAAACCCGCCTATTATAACTGGAGACCAGAAACAAACCGCACAATACGAGAGGCGGAGCTGTGAGCACAGTTAATATGATAACTGCTTTCATATAATTTAGCTCAAATAAATTAGTTATGGCTTGTCAAACTGAATCTGCGACTAACCTTGTGGGTAACAATGGAGAAGGGACCCGCAAAGATGCCTGATTACAAACCCAGGGGCTTTTCGCAGCTAGAGGACTGAGCCTGGCAAAATCCAGCACCTTGCGGCAGATGATGGAGGGGTTAGGGAACAGGAATGGAAATTTGTATCTAGGCAACATCAGGAAGTGTGTATTTGGGGGAAAAAAAAAAAAAAGTTGTTTCTTTAATGAAAAAGTGTATTAGTAAAGACATGTAATTTGAGGTATAATTGGTTGAGAGATGTTAAAAACCTTCTCACCCCAACGTAAAACGTGACTTCTGGGTGATCACCAAACAGTAAGAGGCAAGAAGACAAAACTGTGCCAAAGCATCACCAAAGAGGCTCTACTGCCTGCTCCAAGTTTGAAGTTTGCTGCTTTCCTTTGTGTCTCCTTCCACAGCTCTCCCAGGGCAATACATGACTGCAACACATAAACCCTTCAGCCCGAAGATTTATGCCACGTTCTAATCACTAGCGTGACAGTCAGTGGGCGCAGCGCCCCGGTTCAATAATTTCCTGGGAATCTGGCTTTTGGTTTTCTAACGGTCACCAAACCCTCCCTGGCTGCGTGACACGGCGGTGCTCAGCTCAGCCCGCTGCTGCCCAGCGTCCGAGGGGTGCAGGAGGATCCTGGAAGGATCACGTGTCTTTGTAACTGACCCCAACCCAGCATAAAAAGCCTGCAGAATCTCCAAATTGTGCATTTGGGTTAATTCAACAGAAATGGGATGGCTTGCCCTGCCTGCTCCTGATGAAGTATCAGCAGAGAGATGATATCTGAGCTCACAGAGCTGGAGTTAATTGTCCTGGCAGTCTGGTCCCAGGTAACGGGCACCTCAACACCACAAACTTGCTACCGACCTACATCAGTAGGGGTAGAGCTGGTGAACTTCACAGCATCGTGGGCTTTGCTACGCAGCCGAGGGCCTGATCCAGCAAACACCCACCTACACGAAGGGGCTGCTGCTGTCCTTTAAGTTACTTAAGCATGTAGGAGCTGGCATGACTGAAGGACGAGCTCCTTGTCTTTCAGAGATTTCTGAAGGATGAACTCCTCACGGCTTGTCTTTCTGTTTTCTAAAGGGTTAGCAAGAGCAGCAGAGGCAGCTCTCCACGGGCTGAAGATGCAGACTGGTTTTAAGAATGATGCAGACACGTTGACCCGCTGGATGGACTTCACAGCACATCTTGGATAGACACACAACAGCTTGTCCAGTGATGGCCCAGAGTACAATTCGGCCTCGGGAAATTCCGGTTGCTGTTACACATCAGATGACGATCATTTCAGCCCTGAAATAAGTTCAAAACGAATGAAATCAAATCAATTTTTTTCCTTGATACACTTCCTTCCTGTTTCTCTGTTATTTCTTGAGTCTCCCAAGTGGAGAGCAGAGAGCTTGATAAGTGTGTGCTGCCGATTCCCAAGGGACTTGGGTTATTTCTCCTTTCAATCGTTTTTGCTCTGAGCCCCCTCCAGGACAGAGGAAGGGGAGAGTCACACGCAGAGCACAGGCTAAAGCCTGGCAAAAGGGCTGCAGGCAAAGTCACCCTGTGTTACGTGGTAGGGTTCAGCTCTTCGGTGAAGAGTTTTATTCCTATGACTTGACTGAATATTTTATAAGTTAGTGGCTGTTTTTTTTCTCTTGTACTCCAGACATTTATTTCTGAGAACTGTTAGGTACCAGGTGGGTTTTCATGAAAAGGCACTTCCTGGTGTCCTATCTTTTAAGCACAAGTGTTATGAACACATAAATACTCCTAAAGCTCAAAATTTCTGATGTCGTCTTAACCCTTCTCTATCAAAATGCTAATACTGTAGCTTACAAGCAAATGAAACCTTCCTGTGAGCATGTGATATTTGTGCTTTTTTTGGTTATTCTCCTATTTCTATCAGGTTATTTATATGATAAAAGCCTGCACAACTGCTTTTTATTTAACCTTGAAACAGGAAGACTCAAGGGCATATTTATGATCATACCTATACACAGAAAAAAAACTATTGAGTTCCTCTTTTTAACCAGCAAAATACACTAATAAAATCTTTTCCTACACTAATAAAATCCAGATAGAGATTAGGCAGACAATTTTTCCTCCCAGCCATAACACTGTACAAGTGTTTAAGTGCATTACTGCTTGGTTTAGGTATTTTTCTGCAAATCCCTATGGACCACACGACAAAGCCAAAGATCCCAGGCATGAAGCTGGGTTGTTAAATCAAGAACAGTAACTAGCCAACTTACACAAAAAAAAAAAAATCACAGTGAAACTAGGCTTGCAATCTCTCCAATTTTCCATCCATTACAGTGTTAAGCTTGTCTTGTCTTTTACCAGTGGGAGATGATAATGAAGCTTCAGTTCAGGGATTTTCATGAGAAGTGGTCCCAATTATTTGCCCAGATGGGCAACTCGTAAGGCATAAACTCAACATTTTTATCCAAAACAGAAATGACTATCAAAACCATTGCAAGGCACAATTTTTTTGAGAAGCCCTTCTCTCTAGACTTTCCTGTCAAGTCTGATGAGGAAAGGCAGGGGTGCCACAGCCCCTACCTGACTTCCTTGAGGTGCCTCTTCGCAAAAGTGTTTATGGAGATGTATTGGCCCAGCAGCAGCCTACTCGGATGAAACAGTTTCTTCTTTATTTTACCATGGTTTATGGAGAAGGTGCTCTGTCATGGCTCTTGGCAAACAATTGGGTGCCTCCTGATGCCCAGGAGGCAGGACCACGGTCACCCTGGGCTGTGAACAGCAGGCAGGGGGGAGTAGCTGTTGATGAAGGACCACGGCTAGTCAAAACAGCAGGGTTTTTCCTCACAGGAAAGGTTGGCAAGAATGAAAGCAAGTGCTTCCTCAACTTTTTCCATGGGAAAAACTTCAGCTTTCTGCAGCCTGAACACCATCATTTGAAAAATCAGAGGCATCTACGATCAGCTCTCCGCTGTCTATTGCGATGAAGGAGTGCATAACCTGCACAAAGTCCAAACATTGCCCACAGAATATTAAACCACGCAGTGGCAGCACTAAGGGGGAAAGAAAGGCTGGATAGCCCACTGCTGCGATGCCTGAAACTTCCTCGGTGGGGACCAAAGGAAGCAGCTGAGGCACTCGGACATAACCAGGGTGTTGCTGCCTCAGGCAGACCCTGTTTAAGTGCCTTTGTTCTCAAGGCACAGTTAATCCAAAAAAATATCCATCTTTTGATTGTTTATAGGACTCATCCGAGCTGTGGAAAGGCTGCAATGGAGCGCCATGGGATGTCTAGTTCAGGTGTTCCCATATTGCTGGTTTTCTCTGTGGGACGGACTCTGCCCCAGCATGCAACATGGTCGGAGAACCTCATGGCACCCATCAGTAAGTAGGTCAATAAGAAAAACATCCCTCTTTTTTTCTCCCCTGTAACGTTTGTTCTACATGGTATAGCGCCAAACCGAACTCTCAACTCCATCTCCTGCAGAAAATTAGTGGACGGTGGTTTTATTTTTAATTTTTTAGCCAATCCAGAGTGAGAAGAGCATTTTGCCCCTGAAGACTCCACTTTCTGGGGCAAGCTCATCAGAAAGTAGCAACGATTAAACATTTGCAGTGTAATTAGAACTTACTCAGATGCAGTAAAATACACCTGAAGCGTTTCCATGGTCTGACAGAGACCTAGATAAACGAGAAGGAAAGAAGTGCATAGTTTTTCACATGACTCCAACCCTGGCTCTCACAACAATACCCAGTCCTGTTCTCTACAGCCTGCCCCCATCTTTGCAGCCATTTTTGAATTTTAACCTTGAACCTTTAATCATTTTACAACGTACTAAGGAAATCCAGTCCTTCCCACTCAAAGGCTGGAGGAGTAAGACTCACTGACCCTTTTTTGGACGTAGCTACATTCTGATCTTTGCCTGATAAACTGACTCTTGGCTCATAGGTCATCCGTCTCCTTTCAGACATCCCTGGTTTCTCCTAGGTCATCCAGATGAACCTACAAACCGATACACCTCTTTATCCTAAATTTTGGCATGTAACCGTGATAACAGTTTCCTTTAGTCTCAGGTCCCCACTCCCACTTCAACAAGAGTTTTGTTCTAGTAAAAGCAGTAGGCAATAAATGAGATCTTGCATTTTCTATTTGTGCATTCCCATAATACTGAGAGATTACCTACTAGGAGATAAAGATTTGAAGACAGATACAACATTTAATGTTAAGTTTGGATATTTTGGTCACACAGACAAACAGATGCAATCAGACTTAACACTCACTAAATATATATCTTGCCTTGAATAGTTATTAAAGTTTAAAAATTAAATGAAACCCTGCAGATATCAAATAAAAGTGGAATCTGGAAGCTGTAGTTTTTCTTCTCATACAGTAGTGAAATGGTTAAGGATTTTTTCTGAAGAACTTTAGAGGCACAATGGAGAAGCACAGAAGCATAAATCTGAAGGTTAAATTTGTATTGGCTTTGCTCCTCCTTCCCATAGGAGCACAGATGGTAAAAACCTTAAAGCTACCCCTGCTATTATCATGGAATAAATGAATTATCAGGTTTCTCCCTCACAATGCTAACTATGGAAGGCGCCTTCCTACTCACATCATGATCAAGATCATTTAAATGAAGAACTGCTGCTTGTTTGATCTGAAAAAAAAAAGAAGGGAAAAAAAAGAAAAGTATCTCTAAAAGACCTGGATCACCCTTTGGACTTGGAGCAATCACTTCCACGCAGTTGCTGGAAGGCGTAAAGCCAGCCAAGCCCACTGGATTTCTAAAATGATGCAGCTTCTGCATCAAAGAGCTGCTGTTTGTTTGTTGTGGTGGCTGCAAGAGATGCTGATACCCGAGAAGTGGCGTTCCTACAGGGAAGGCAGAAAAAAAAAAGAAATCAGCCTTGCATGTGGCTTCCTGGGAAGAGCGCGAGGCAACGCGAGGGATAATGAAACCAAGGCAATGCAAAGCACTAAGAAAGGTACTGGAGGGAAATATTCTCTCCGATGCTGTGATTAAAATTATCCATTGGAATAGACGAACCCCACTCTGCTCACGCTTCTGCCAGCCTTCGTGCACAACCTAAGACCACTTTAACTAACATTAAAGACCCTGATAGGCTTCAGGAAAGCAGCTCTCTCACATAAGCAATTAAAGCAGATGAAACTGGGATTTCAGCTGATGTTCTGGTGTTAAAACAGGGAGGAAACGCAATCAGGATTTAAGTCTCTCTGCCACTATTTTTGCTCAAATTCAGTGAGAAAAAGGAGTAGACTTTGAGAACCCAGTGACACAGGTCTTAACTAAATAACATTATGGGTTGAAGCCCAGAGGTTAAAGTGTGCACTAGCTCTTGTGTGCACTACCTACGGTTGGTTACTCGGGGGTTCTTATAATCCGTTCTCAACCCTCTATATAGCAAAATCTAAAAAAATAAATAAATTGCCGGAGTTTTACTGTTCGTTTGTTTTGGTTTTTTGTTTTTTTTTTTTTTTTTTTTTTTTTTTTTTTTTTTTTTTGCATATCTAGGGATTGTATTTTCCACCACGGAAAAAAAAAAAAAAAGCTATGTGACCAGCCAGCTAACCCCAGCTGAAATTCTCAGTAATCACCTTCTTCCAAGAGCTGCAGCTTCATGAGTGACTTGGAGAATCCCAGCTAAGCAGCGGGAGGTGGCAGCCAGGAGAACCTGCACGTACATTTGCTTCTGTACGTTCTGTGAAGGTGACTGTTCTCGGCGAACACCGAACTTGATATTAATAGTGACAAAGAGTAACAGTTCGCTTCTCTTCAACCGCTATTACCGTGTGTGCCTGCAGATTATTGCTGCTGGATGGCCAACGTGTGGGTAGGGCTTACCCTGATGTGTCCTAATGTAGGAAATTAATGGTGTTATGTTATTCAGGTAATTTATAGCTTGAGGTGACAACGAGACAGGTATGAGCTTGAAGAAATGCAATTTTATTTTAAAAGGAGGGGGGGAATCTCAAAAAAAAAATTGTTTTTCTTCAGTCAAATCATATATAGATCCCTCTTCCCTTTAATTGCCATGGTATATAATTTGGGAAGTATTAGTCGTTCTTCTTTCAAAAATACAAGTAAGGAAATTACATGAGCACTGAAGCATTCAGATGTAAGTGATATCATTAAAAAAATATCAGAAATACAGTAAGGAGAAAATTAACAGTTAGTTGTTCTCTTCAAAAAACTTTGGCAAAATTATGAAATACTTCCTCCGAATTATGAATTTAGTCATTTGTGCTGCGTTATTTGTCCAGATGAAAGCAAGGTTATCGCATGATTGAATATCACAACTCCATTTTCATTGTTGAGATCTACTGCGACATTTTACAGTCGTTGTCTGCAGCCCAGCAACTGTCCCCACCAAACAGGGCTGCTGGGACCAGGGAACACACCCAAAACCCAGCAGGACCGAAGGGCGAGCGTCTGCTGACGACCAGCACAGGTGAATAGGTGAAGTTAAGCATCTTGAGCAAAACAGAGACTATTTTTTTGCATCAAACCCTCAACTAGTAGCTGTTGTTTTCGGCACTAGTTATTTTTACCTTGGGGTGCTTGGTATGGCTGGCATAAGCTTTTGGCCAAGGCTGTTGCAGCCAACTGCTTGTGCATGCCCACTGCCTGTTTTATTCGAAAAAGAGCTTTTCCTGGCTCGTAGAAACTGTCCCTCTGGTCCCTTGGAAATCCCAGAAGCCAAAAAAATTGCTTCTAGTGGAGACAGCAAGAGAAGTATTTTTTCCCCCCCGCTTCTCTGTTCTCCGATAAGTGCTTTTAATATCATTGGGCCTCATGTGCGCCGTGCAAAAAAGCAGGGTGGCTACAGAAATAGTCTCCGAAGTTGTGGCTTTTTCGGTTGTACTTCTCATTCACACCCCTCTTCTGTGCAACTGAATTTACGGGAAGCTCACAGCCATCCCTCCTCTATGTTCCGCAGCCCCTAAAGCTGGAAAAGCAGCGAGGACAGCTGCTCTCCCCTCACGTTTAAGCCCCTCAGAAGCACGGTGGCTCCTTCAGCTCTGAGAAAGGCGACCTTCTGGGCTGGCAAACTGCAGGCGCTGGCACGGCTCGAGCACCACATCGCTTGGGAGCTTTATCACACAGAGCCACGGGGAAAAAAGAGCGTGCTGGAGAGAGGGGAAAAAATAGCAAGAGGGAGATGGTTGGAGCTCGGGGATCACCATCTACCCTCGTGGGATGAAAACTCTTAAGAATGCAGAATAATATTGCGCCTTTACCAATGGTGGGATTTCAGCAATGGAGCCAAAGGGGCAGGGATAGAGGAGGAGTAACACGAGGGCAGCAAGAGGGAAGGAATACAGCTCGCCCTGGTAGTCTTCCCATGGACAGAAGGAGAGTTTTCTGTTTCCCACCTCCACGTCCCACTCTGAACCCTGCCATAAGGGCACAGACAGGCAACGATCAGCCACAAATGGCCAGGCACTCGGTTAGTATGGACAGTGGGGAGACACCGAGCACCTCCTAGACAATGAAACGGAGAGTGGAAGAAGGAAGCATCCTTGTCCAAGAAAACAAAGACTGAGGTGTGTTCCACTGAGCAGAAATTGTTCATGCTGTTAGCTGCAGTGGAGGCAGAGGCCTCTTTGAACAGCAAGGTGAGGTATGAGGTACTGCAGCACCAGCAGTGCGGTGGGCAATAAACTCCACAGAATCCCAGAATTGTTGAGGCTGGAAAAGCCCTTGCAGCTCCTCCAGCCCAACCATGACCCTCCCCCTGACCGTTCCCAACTCCCCCAGACCCCTCAGCGCTGGCTCAGCCCG